TAAAATTTTTTAAGGGGGTTTTAATAAATTTTAATAAAAAAAAAAAAAAAAAAAAAAAAAAAAAAGACCCTTTCTTGCCAAAGGCCATCTTCAATTTAATTATTTTATGTGTACAGCCTCAGAGACAAAGTTATTATAAAAGAATTTACTTCCATTATAAAGAGTGTCTTATTGGAAGGTGGCCCTCTTATTGGAAGGTGGCCGTGCTCTACATTAATCTCCAACAAAGTCTTTTGTATAATTGTGTAAAGTACTTTTGACTGAAACTCTGTATTACTAGTTAATTATTCCAACCTAAACAATTCAATAAGTGATCTATAATCTAGTTAATGTACTTAATTAACACAGTGGACTATTGAAGGAGGACCAATCATTTATGATTTGTATCAAAGACATGGAAAGGATTTTTTTTATTATGATTATTATCAGCATAATTGGTTTTAATTAGTTATTTATTTTCTTAAAATTAAGATACGATTATTTTTTTGAGAAACATACACAATGTCTCAAGGGTTACTATTGAACTTTAATTAATTTGAATTAAGTTGACTGAATTTATTTATAGAGTAAACTTTTTAATATTTATTTTATTCGTAAAATTTATTTCCAAATTTTTACTTAAAGAAAATTAAATTTATAACACTATACATTTTTACTAGTTATTGTTGATTTTATTAATTATTGTGTTGTGGTGGTTTAATGTTGTGAATTGTTAAAAGATTATGAGAATTTGAAGAATTCTCGTGAATTTAGGTAGTTCTAAGGATTTCTCTCGCTAGAAGTTTGATTTGACCTTAACAGAAAGGTATATAAGGTTTCTTTTAAGATTTAAGTTTCATAAGTTCATTTCTTGAGAATTTTAAAGAGATAAACTTTAGAGGGAGAGACTCTAGTTTTTCCAAATCTCTTATTCTTCCCTAACTTCTTAAGTGTTGTAGAAGTTCATTATTGAGTAGCGGAGTGGTAATCTGAAGCCCCAATTGAGGATTTATCACCATGGTCATTTTGTTACAGAGTTAGCTTGGTTTTGTTCTTCTTCTTCCTCTTCTCTCTTAGATTTTGAGACTTTGAGATAAGGGAAGTTAGAGCCTTGCTTCTTTTTTGTCTTTGAGTTGTTGTATATGAAATGGTTGTTGAATGATTGCATTAGGTTGATAAATTGCATGAATTTGAAGTTGGTTGTTTAGCTTTCAGGTTCTTAGATTTTGAAGAGAAGAACTTGATGATTCTATCTAAATGTAATTGCATGTTGTTCTTTTGAATGAAGTTGAGTTGGGAATGATGTATATATGAGTTTTCTTGCATGTTGGGATTTTCTAGTTCTTAGGTGGATTGAGCTAAAAATGTGAATCTACTAAGTGTAGAATTCACATCTGATGGAACTAGGTGAGGAAGATTGGTGTTCCTCAACTCTTCCATGCTTAGGACCGAATTGCACTTGAGGTAGACACTTGAAGAATCTCTGAATCCTCCTTTGAAGAAGCTCCAATGGAGGTGAAGCCAAGAATGAGGTTCGGTTACTTCAAGCTTGAGGTAGAAGCTTGATGAACCAAGGCAAGGTTTGAAGGAACCTTGAAGGAAACCTTAGAGAGGAAATCTCCACGGTTTTATGACTCTTGAGTTGAGAGGAAAATCTGATTTCATTCTCAAAATATGTTCAAAAGTGTCTACAAAAGAAGCATTTACAAATATATAGAAAAGAGGTGGCTTCTAGGAGAAGCTAACCTTAACCATGGTTCACTAGGAACCATGGTAAGGTTTACTTAACTCCTATGGTTTTGGCAAGCTTGCAAGGGAAGCTAACCTTGACCATGGTTCACTTAGGAACCATGGTAAGGTAAGCTTACCTTACTTGAGTTTAGAAGCTTGCAAGGCAAGCTTCAAAAACTCAAGAAGGAACTACTAATTTCGGCCATGAAGAGAGCTAGGCGGCTTTGCACTTAATTTGCTCCTTGATTTAATTTGCAAAATCTTGATTTGGTGTAGTTAGGTTCATCATATGATGATGAGACCTAGCTACATCAAATCTATGAAAAATTAGGAGCAAAATGAGTCCAATATCAAAAATTTAGCCTAGGCCCAATTCTGGCCCAATTACTAGTCATACCTCAAGCTTTGCTAAATGTACCCCCTTTTTCCTACTGAAAAAATATAAAATGAAAGTATCAACTAGGGAGGTTAAATGGAGCTAAACTCTCCAAGTAACCTACCTTAAAAACAATATACAAACACTAGGAAAAAGCAAGTAAAGTGCCTTACAAATACAAAGGCAAAATAACCTATACACAAGACTATGTATAAACTGTACAATATAAACAAATAGAACTAAGGCTTTCTCTTCATGATAGAGCATTCCAAGTGAAGATTATCTTGGGCCTGACAAGCCCATTAGTCTTCTCTAGATCCAGCTCTTCCTGTATCCTTCTAGCCATAGCTCTGGTCACTGGGCCCTTGGCCCATGGTCTATCAACATCGTGTTGGGCACAAGCTCAAGGCGTTGGGTGTGACACACATTAGAGGCTTTCTACCTCACTTACATTGGGCGTGAGTTAAAGGAAAGTCTCTGCCTTGATCACATCAAACAAGGTTTGAATGGTGTCGAACATGAGGAGAGAGAAACATCTTTGACTTGGTGATGTTGGACCTAAGGTTGAGTGGTGTCCAGAGTGGATGACACTAGGTGCGAGTATGGTAACATCGAGCGTGAGTCAGACAAAGATTCTCTACTTGAAATGAGATCAAGCGTGGGTTTTAGTCACACCAAGCATGAAAGCAACATGGGTTTTCTACCTCATCTACATTGGACGTGGGAAGTTTGGTGCTAAGTGTGGGCGAGTTAGAGACTCTACCTCATTTCACGTCGAACATGGGAAGAGTGGCATCAGGTGTGGACTATCTTATAAATATGTGTTGCATGTGGTTTTACAAGTTGAATATGTATAAATTTGTGGAATATATGACATGTTATATGATGATTAAATTGTATTTTATATCATAAGTTGATACATGAGGTTGGGTCTTTATACCTTGGTGTAGCAAAATGTATAAAGTTGATTAAATAGTTGAAAGTTAAGTTGTATGTTGTTCAATTGAGTAGTTGTATTGAGAATAATTTGTCATTAAAGTTGTACTATGTTGATTGACTTAGGACTAGAAGAGAATTTATTTTTAAAGTTGCATATCTCATTATAAGGATATTGTGTTATAGTGCTCTAAGAGCTCGGTTTGTTGAAATCCCTTCTTGAGAAGTTCACCCTTGAATCGGATAGTTGTGTTTCCTCTAAGACTTTAGTTGATGCGATATGTGGGCCAAGTTGAGACATACCAACTACAAACAACCATTGTTGATCCATATGTAAACAAGGTTAAAACATATGTGTATAAAGCGACCAAATTAGAGTAAGATACAAGGTCGGGGCGAAAACCTCTAACTAAATACTAGAATGGTGTAGTACTTGGAGGGTAGTCATAGGCTAATTAAATAGGTGACTTAGTTATGCTAGCTAATGTCGTGATAGACTCATACTCAAATTGTTCTACCCTAATAGGAATACTAGACTTTCTAATTTAAGTGACGAAATCCAATAAATCATGTTGTGTTGTGGATTTTTATCCAAATTGATTGTTGATCTAGTTAAATTGAAAAGCTTAGGTTGTTGGTTTGGTAGGGTCAAGCTACTTAGACTTCCTAGTTTAAGTGAGAAAATTTGAGAAATCATGTTATGTTGTTGATTTTTATCCAAAATGGTTGTTGATTTAACTGAGTTGAAAAGATTGAGTTGTTGTTTGGTAAGGTCAAACTATTTAGACTACTCACTTATGTTGTAGGAGATTTTCTAGTTGAAATGTGTGAGGATACATATAATTATTGTGTTGTACATATGATGTGTTGACTGATTTGTGTTGTTTGTATGCTATGTTGATTGGTGATGAGATACATTAAGGTGTTGTTGTGTTGTTCAAGTTGAAGAACATGTTATATTGCGTTGAAATGTTGTAAAAGTTGATACTGTGTTGAATTAAGTCGAGTTATTTATGTTGATAGTGTAGTTATTTTTACTTCTATATTGACTGTATTAATTTCTTTGAATTTCAGTTTACCCTTACATGTTTCAATGTGATTAGATTGTAATGATCATACTTAATATAAGAGTAGAACAAGAATAATTTGATGGAATCCTTTAGAGACCTGATTGATTGGTGGTGTTGATCTTGGGCTACCTCGAAGTGGCTAGCCTAATAGTTGTTAATTGTTACTTGATCAATAATAACCTAGATTTATATATTATAGTTTTTTGATTATAGTATATACACATACTTGTGTAACATTTCAGTTATTAGTACAAATTAGTATATATATATATATCATTACTTGTATATTCAAGAACTGTTATATATTAATCTTAAGTAGAAATATGTATACTTTTTTGTTACTAATTGTGAATGATCGTATAAAGACTTGACAGATCATTAAAAAAATTTAGTAGTTGAAGTTAGTATATATAAATTTTAATTTTAAATTTTGTTATCATTATTATAATTTCTATAAATAGAAAATAAATAAATAACATAGATGAAACAAATCTCAACAAGGAAAAAATGAAGGCCACATAATTGCTATAACTACAAATATTGACCAGCGAAGGCAAGCAATAATGGAATTTTTGAAGGCATACGAAAATACGACAAAAATGAAAAGCCGTGTATACGAATTTTTAATTCTTATCAATTTTTATTTTTTAAAATTAATTATTATTATTTATTAAAAACATGATATATATATAGAGAGAGAAAGAGAGAGATAATAAGATTTAATAATGATGTATTGGCTGTTTAAAATTTTTTACTCTATCTACTAATAAAAAATCATTATTTATATATCTTTCAAAATAATTAAAAGATAATTTTATTAAATGATTTCAGTATATAATATTTTTCCCTATATAATATGTCAATAGTTTTCCGCGAAAAAGAAATTGTCATGGATTATTGAATAGAAACTTAAAAATAAAATTATAAAGAATAAAATTAATAAAATAAGAATTGAAAGATTAAAATGAAATTGATAGAAAACGTAGTTGAGGTTATTTTAATTATTTAACGCTTGATAATTGGTCATCCGCGTCAATGGTTGTTCCAAACAAGAAGTGGTAAATTTGCGATGATTTCTTACTTGATCATTGCTTAACCGTGTAGCCGTGCCACCATAGGGAATCACTTTCCAGTTTCCACCCTGAATTGAAGGGGAAAATTAGCAAAGCAAAGTGTATAATATTATACTAGCAATGACAAACCGTTACTTTCGGTTAAAGCTTATACATCAACACTATCATCCTTAGCTTCTTCTTCCATTCCTCTCACTTACTACCTCTTACAATAATCCATCTCTGTCTCTCAAACAGTACATAGAGAGAGAGAGAGAGAGATCAATTCTTATGAAGTTGCCTCCCAACTACTCTTTTTAGTCTCTTTATCTTTATTCTTCTTCTTCTTCTTCTACTTCTTCTAATGCCCCCACCCTACACCCTACACCCTCTCCCCTACCAACATTATTTCTTCCTTTACCCCCAACTCATGCATGCTCCTCCTTTCACTTCATCAAATGAACCACCCCAATTGCACCATCTCAAAAACCCACCTAGAGTTAACTAGAAACACTCCAAAAGATTGATTCTTTTTTGCTCCACAACTTATGGCATCCATTGCCACCTTCTTCAACAACTTCTTTCTCTACCTCCTCATCCTCCTACTTCACCTAGGTTGCTTCATCTTCACCACCACCACCAAAAAAGACGACAACCACCACGCGCCGCCGTTAAAGAAACGAAAAATCTCGCCTTTATCCCAACCCTCCTCCCCTTCCCACCCCAAATTCAAAACCCACAAAGCCATCTCCTCTTCTTGGCATTTCATCAAACACCTCTTCTCCACCAAGTCCTGCAAAAACCCCACCACCACCACCGCCACCGCCGCCGCCTCATCCCCTCAATCCACCACCACCGTCACTACCACCGTCTCCGCCGCCGCCGCAAGTTCCCTCATTTCCTCATCACAACCCGACCCGGATAGAAAACAACCCGAATCCGACATCGGCGCCGACACGAACCTCTTCTTCCCCCTCCGCAACGACATCTTCCCCTGCACCGCGTGCGGCGAGATCTTCCAGAAGCCCCACCTCTTAGAAACCCACCAAACCCTCAAACACGCGGTTTCGGATCTACCCGGATCCGACCCGGGTCACAACATCGTCCAAATCATCTTCAAATCGGGTTGGCCCGAATCCAAACCCTTCCCCAACGTGACCCGCGTCCTCAAGATCCACAACAGCCCCAAGATCCTCGCCAAGTTCGAGGAGTACCGCGAGGCCGTCAAGGCCAAGGCGGCGCGTCACGGCGCCCTCACGCGCCGCCCCGACGAGCGCTGCATCGCCGACGGCAACGAGCTCATGCGCTTCCACTGCTCCACCTTTCTATGTTCCCTGGGACACAACGGGGATTCCTCAATTTGTTCGCAGCAATTTTGTAACGTTTGCGGAATAATTAAGTCCGGATTCTCGTCCAAGTTGGACGGAATCGCCACGCTGTCCACCAGCTGGCGGGCCCACGTGGCGATTCCTGAAGACTTGGAACGAGAATTTCGCTTCATGAATGTGAAGCGGGCCATGCTCGTTTGTAGGGTGATTGCGGGTCGGGTTGGGTCGGATTTAGACGAAGCGGAAAAAGAGGATGGGGGTTTTGATTCGGTGATGGCGAGGGGAGAGAGTGGAGTTTACACCCGGCTTGATGAGGAGGAGCTGTTGGTGTTTAATCCTAGGGCTCTGCTTCCTTGCTTTGTGATTGTGTATAGTGTGTGATGAATGAGTATGTATGATGATGATGATGTCAGCTTGATCCAACGGTCGTGATCATGGGTTGTAATCTTAATTTGGTTAAGTCTTTTGTAGTTAAGAGATGCTTCTTTTTGCATAATCTGGGTTATCGGACCCTTGTGCACGAAATTCTGTGCATTAAATTGACACATTATAGTATAGAAATTGAATGTGATGTATGTAAGACTGTTTTTTTTTTAGGTGAATATCTTTTGGTTGTGTTAGCAAGGTTGGCTTTCTCTCATTATTTGATTGTTTTCTTTTTGTGCATGAAAGTGTAGGATATGAACAGAAGATGACAAAAACAGAGTTCAATACTCAAAGAGCGCGCGAATTGAAGGATTTACAAACTATCCATCAGCAAGGTTTTCAAGGAAAATCAATTTTACATTTTTTGTGAGACATGACTTTGCACTTTACCGAGTCTAAAAATGTTTTCAGAAATACATACAAATTTACATTGTGAGGTGAGTATAATTTTAATTTTTTTATATATTAAAAATCTTAGTTAACTTCGAACACATGGGGTTTAGGATTATGTCGTATTTTTCTGGGGTGGTAGATGGTCACATGTGCAACCCCATGATTCTGTTCCCCATCTGATGAGAGGTTGCTAGAGAGGTTCATTCACATTGATTATTTGATAATGAGGATTTTTTTTTAAAATATAAGAGAGAAAAGTGTTGAAATTGACTAAAATGGATGATGCAATGAAAATAAATGAATAGAAACAAATATTGTAAGTGTTGGGAGAACGTACGTTAAGTGAGAATAACGTTTTGTGAAAATTTTCTGTTTTAAGTACTTTAAATTAACGATTCTTATTTTAATTAACGATTTGTTGTTTGTGTGGTTCTTTATTTTTGAATGACAGCAAACTTCTCAAAAGTAGAAAATGGACTTTTATACGGCACAATATGCCTTAATTTTCCGTTTTTGTTAGTGATGACTTGTTAGTTTGTTATTATAAGGAAAAACACTTTGGTTTGATTAGCTATCTCAACTAGTAGAATGAAGCCATGATTGAAACTTTGATTTTTGAAGCATGCACGTATTGGCGTATTTGTAATGACTTCCAAGTTTCTTGCTATTCCAAGAACATTTAAGTTTGATTTACTTTCTCAGCGGCTCGAAAAGAACAAAGCAATAATTAAAACGTTGATTTTAAAACGCTACGTACATGTTTGGTTTTCTTCTTGTTTTGGGGGAGGATAGAAAAAATATATATAAATTTTATGTATATATAGAAGAGTTTCATTAGATTTCGATAAGTGCAGACATTAATTAAATTACTAGTAATGTACATCCTTGTTTGTAGTAAACGTCTATATCACAAGGTTCGTGTTTATTTTTGGTACCACACGTAAGATGTTGTTGGATCGTAGGTGTGTCAAATTCTTCTTCCCTAAAAATACAACGATAAATAATCTGTTAATTATTTGTTTTCACCGTATATCATAAATGTGAAGTATATTGACTTTAAAATATGTCAATTGTTTTAAAAACATCTGATTTATTTATGAATGGAAAACAAATAAATACAACCTTTCTTCTCTCTCGTATAATAATAATAATGGTAATAATATTAATTAAAAATATATTAATATAAAAATAAATAAAATAAAAAGTGGCAGTTATTATGTTAAATTTTTTCAAAAGGTCCTTAGATAAAGGATTGCTTATCTTTATTAGTTTTTCCTTAGGCTCTTTGTTATAGAAAATATGCCCCTTTGAAAATGGAGGTTTTATGATAGGGTGAAAAGAAAATTATGTATCATGTGATCTTCCACTTTTTTACCTTAATTTTTATAAATTTTTCAAAATTTAAAGTTATATCAGCAATAGAGGATTTAGGAGAAATATTATATACGAGAACTAAAACTTTGATGATAATAGTACACTAATAAGGCTTTGTTTGGATTTGAAGATGGAAAATGGAGAGTGGAAAAGGAGGGATTTGAAGGGAAAGTGAGTGGAAAGTGAGGTTGTTTGGATTAAAGGAAAGTGAGTGGAAAGTGTAGAGAAAGTTTGTGAAAGTTTGTGAATGAATTGATTGATGTGATAGATAAAAATAAATTTTTTAATTGATAATTGTGAAAGATTACTATTTTGCCCTTAGGTTAAAAAAAGTTTATAATTATTATAATTAAAAGATAAATATATAAATTTTAACTAAAAAATTATAAAAAATTAATTTAAAAATAAATTAATTTAAATATTTGCTTTAAATTTAATGATAGATAAAAAATAAAAATTTAAGAGATGAATATATAATTTACACTTTTACCCTTGGATTAAAAATGAGTATAATATTATTTATTGTAATTAATAATAATTACAATAAAATTATATTAATAGGGTTTATTTACTAAAAAAATAATAAATAATGATAAGAATAATAATAAATATTAGAAAAATAATAAGAATCATAATAAATAATAATGATACTAATTATAATAAATAATAATATTAATATTAATAAAAATAAAAACAATAATATTTATAATAATAAATAATAATAACAAAATATATTATGATAATTATATTTTGTAACATTATTTTATTAATGTTTATGAAAGTGTTATTATTTTAATTTTATAAACATGTATTACTTTATTTTTTTTATATTTCCACTTTTTGATGTTAATATTTAAATAATAGAAATTTGTTAATATAAAAAAAATGTACAATAAATTTTTTGAAAGTTAATTAATAAATTAAAAAAATTGATAAATCATTAACATAAATTACAATGAAATGAAGATACATTTGTTAATTGTACAAGTTAATTTTTACCAATTAAAAAATTTAAAAATTTATAACATTACAAAATAGATGGGTAATAACATATTTGTAAAATAGAACAGAAAATACACTTCAGTCATGAATTAAGTAAACAATAATTAAATATGACATAAAATAATATAAAAGAAAAATGTTGCAACTAAATAAAACATATTTAAATTACAATAATAAAAAAGAAAATAAGATAATGTAGTTTATTCAAATGAACTCCGAAAGTCATCAAATTTTTGTTCGAGGGTATCAAGTCTGTTATGAATTTGATTAACATTGATAGTCAAATTATTTAATCCTTCTTGTAACCCTTGAATGCCAGTCAATATTTGGGAAAACATTTGACCATCGTACTGGACTGGAGGTTGTTGTGTGACGTCGGCAGGCTGCTCCTCACCATGGTCCTCAGGCATTGCATGGTCTTCATGTTCAACATTTTGGCCATGATGATAATTATCCCTGCCATGTATCCATACCCCGTTGACATTCACGATATTTAATTTTTTCAAGGTATTTTTATTAAAAAAATGTGGCCACCCTAATTCGACTGCAACATCAATTGATAAGTCTACGCCATAAGCAGCCAAAATGTGTGAAATTAAAATGAGGTTTGGAAGAGGCATCCCATTGTCCTTGCATTTGACCATGTGTTGCATGATATAATGGGGCCAATTGATCAAAATGTTATTCTTTAAGGCCCATAACAGAAAAATGTCTTCCTGCAAGAGTTGGGAAAAGTTACTTGATCTGGGAGCCAATATATGGACGTAGACATAATGTAGGAGTCTGTCGTTAATGTTAAGACTTCCTACATTTCTGACATTTCGGCCCTGCA